CCTCGCTACGGCCCTGGTTGGAACAGCATTGTCACGACAAGTTTGTCTTCTAAAATTGCCTCCTTCATTTTGCGCCGCCATCTTGGATGTTTACTTTCGTATACTACGCATGCGCTGGTTACGACAATCCGTAAGCAGATAGCTTTCGTTAAGCTTTCGTTCGCCGCACATGGAAAGATTTTGGCACGCGAAGCAGCAGAGCGAGGCAGAAATTATCAAACATGTTAGATATTTGCCGTAAGTGGCACGAATAACAAAAGTTGTTCGTAAATCGCCCGCACACGAGAGCTATCTCCTTACGCCATTGGGCAGGTGTGACATTTCATATGATATTATCAAGTATATACTCGGGTAACAGTGTTACAAGTGTTACACTATCTTTGTTTAGGGTTAGGGGTGGGGCTAGTGTGTGTAACACTATGTAACACGGTGGGGTTAGGGGTGGGGTTAGGGGTAGTGTGTGTAACACTATGTAACACGGTGGGGTTAGGGGTGGGGTTAGGGGTAGTGTGTGTAACACTATGTAAGAATATGTAACATTGTTTAACACTGTGTAACGCCTGTAACAGTCAACAGTGTTACAACTGAGTGCCATAATAAAGCCATCCTAAATCGTGCATGGTATACTACTTTCATATAGTTGCCTATAAACACCTGATGATTTTATTTTTCAAAGGATTTTGAGGATTGTGCTATGTGTAGCCTATGTTATAATAATAATAATAAACAACTTTATTTCATGAGGCTAACACATAACAGCCAATGCTGACAAACCAGTGGCCCTCCTAAAAATATTCTATCCAATTACATACTATGTTACTATCCTAAAATTATATTATATACATTCACTATTATACTACTATATAATTTATTATACTATACTACAGTTAGCATAGAATTATTATTATTATTATTAAAAACTTTGTATGTTCCCCAAAGGGCTTTTCAGCATACAATTACAATATGCAATCTAAAATAAAGCTATACTATACTATTCAAAATCTAGTAAGTTACGATTGTCTATTAAAACCTTTATATATATGATACTAAGAATTTAAAAGGTTCTGAGTTCTGGAATCTTTTTCAGTTCATCATCAATATCGTTCCATATCTTAACTGCGCGATAATGAAATGTTCTTTGCCCTGCAGTAGTTTTATAGCTTGGAATATTTAAACAGTAGTTATTTCTAGTCTGGTAATTATGAATATCAGATCGCTTTGTGAATTTATTTGCAAGGTAGAATAAAATAGAGTAAAATATACCGGTGGCGGTGAGAAAAATTTACATATTTAGACTAAAAGAATCTATGTTCGCATAAGTTCCTATAAAATGTTTTCTAAGTGCATTTTTAAAAGAACCAATACTTTGTATTTACTCTTTATTTCGGGAGGCAAACTGTTCCATAGCTTAATGCTACTAATTGTAAAAGACACTACTACGAGTGCAGACAAGATTATATCCACGATCCACCATGCCTTAGGTCTGTGTGCTATGTAGACTGCCAGACTGGTTCGTTATAAAAAGTTTGTCAATATATCAAGGCACGTCTCCATTTAACTTTTTAAAAATTTAAACACTAAAATACATTTGTCATTTTTTTTTATCTTCACTTCATCATAGAAGGGTATCCACAGGGCCGTAGCGAAGGGTATTAGGGGGTGGTTAACCCCCCCCCCAACTTTTTTAGAATTAATATATTCGGAAAATCAGGTTGGTCATTCGGAAAATTACGGCAGTAATAGTATAACAAAATTTTAGTTGTTTAAACAGAGAAAATATTATAAAATTGTATTGTCAGCATCATAAACTGATTTACAAAATCACGGCATTTACATGGATAACATTTAACAAATCGTAGATCGGTAAATGTTTTTCGGTTATTACTTCCCAGGGGGGGAGGGGGGCATCCCTCAATATATCTTTAAAATACTGACAATTGATTAATTTTAAGCGGCTACATTACCCATGACAAACCCCAAAGAATCGTATTACCCATATACGCCTTCGCCCATTTAGTTCTTCTAAATTATAAGCAAATTAATTGTAAATTTCGACGTGCTAAAACTCTGTTTTCTGACCATCAGAATTCTGTCAAAACTTCCCCCCAAAGTCCACGAAATGGCATTTCAGAGACTCTAAATTTAAAAATTTCCTCGGGCCTTCGGCCCTCGCCACCCCCTATAAAAAAGAACTTCCTACGGAACTGCACGCTACTGTACGGAACTGCACGTTTCTGTAATGTCTGCGTAAAATATGAGTATTTTTGTTTGTAAATTGCGTTTTCATTTTCCGGATAACAAACACCTTCGTAGCTTGTATGCCATGAAATATTCGGAAATTTTTTTCGTCATTCGGAAATTTTTGGCTTCACTAACTATTGCATGCTTAGCTACGGCCCTGAGAGTAGCATAGCTAGGGGGTCCAGGGCCATGCTCCCCAGGAAAAGTTTGCAAAATTGAGGCTCGGAAATGCCATTTCCGGCACAGAGTTGAAGGATTTTGATGAAAAAAAAAGCTCCTGTCTAGTCACCAGACATTTGTGGATTAAACAACTCTTATAGCAGAAATTTGGGACTGACTTAATGTGATTTCTAAGTGCTGCGGGGGGGGGGTGTTTAAACCTCCCCTAATGTGTGCCCCTGAGGATATTCTGTACATATGCAAAGCTATAGATTACACACAAAAGAAATCCTTGCTTTCACCTGGTGTCTTGACAGCAGTGAAACAAACTCTCGCTTGGCATGACCAAGGCTTGAACTCAGCTGGTCATTACTGTTGGTTCAATATCACCAGAAATAATTGTGCCCACTTTTAGTATGACCAAATGAACATATACAACAATTGTTATGACAATTTGGCTGTGAACTGTGATCAATATTTTATTAAATCACAACAAACAATTGGGGCGCATGAAAGTTTTTATCTTTTTAATATACGACCTAGTGCTTCCCTTCCCTCTCTAAATTATTTCCCCATTTTTTCTCTGACCTTCCCAAATTTTAAAGTACAATTTTTAAAGTACAAAGTACATTTGATTTTCAATTACAATCTGCTGCATTTTTAAGCAGAATTAACCAACTGTTAAGCCAAATCTCCCCAACTTTGAAAATACTGCAGCCCTCCCCCCCCCATCCTATGCCCAGGAACATAGCAACTGGGGGGGGGGGGTGTAAACCCCCTCAACTGTGAAACTCAGGCAAAAATCAGGTAAAATTCAAGTTAAGATTTTGACATTTTCAGGTAAAATTTGCATAATAAAGTAATTATTTTTGTGAAATGTAACCATTTTTGTAAAATACAGTCAATTTACATCCAATTTGTTTGCAAACTTGCTTTAAAAAACATCAGAAATGCAGTCCTAGAGCTTCAAAAATGTAAAAATTTTCTAGGGGGAGGACCCCCAGACCCCCCTTTTCTTCCGAAACTTAGTATGACAGTGCAAATCAATTACAAAAACCTTTATTATAATTATTACACTTCCGGTAAATTTTTAACATTGAAGTTCAAATTGCAGGTAAATCCTCTGACCCCCCCACCCCCCACCCCCTCCAACTTTAGATGCTTTGCTACATCTATGCCTATGACTACTGTGACCACCTTATGACCAATGCAACCAACATGACCATCACAAGAAGCTGGGAGGCAAAATTAAACCACAACCTTGAGCAAAATGACTTTTGTGTTATGAAATATTGATATAAACTAAATTTGAAGTACACATGTTGCCTTATATGCAGTCTTTTTTCATTGTACGCAACGATCAGCTTAAATAATGTTAATATAAAGTACAGATAAAATTCAGCCTTCATATTAAATTGCCCTATTTTTAGCTCTGCAAAATACCAAAATCTACACAGTTTTGGTTGAGGCAAGTCAGGACATTCTCACTAGCTTTTGGACGAGAGAAATACACCCTTCCAGAAAATACTTCACTTTGGCCATAAGCCTCGTTTTCATGTAGGTGAAAATCGTTAAAGCCCAATGTTGGTTAGGTTTTCATGTCACACAATCACGAAACCTAATCCTATCCCTAACTACCTAACTGATCATATTTTGTTTCTGCACAACATGAAAATGTAACCCCAATGTCTCAAAAAATGAGGCTCTGTAGCCAAGGTGACATACTTTCCAGGTTATGATTTTATACGAAGGCTGAAATTACGAGAGAATGATAGATATTTAATTAATTAATGTTGAAATAAACATCAGAAAAACCATTCTACATGTGATACCTACCTGTGTTTGTCTGTCTGTTGACAAATCATTTTCAGTAATCTCAGTGGCAACTCCAACCCCCCCCCTGCCTTTCCCAAACTTATACATTTCTAATGAGCCCGCGAACATACTTCACAGCGTACTAGTTTCCAATCCTTCTGCGCGGCTGGAAGCAAGATGGCGGTCGCAGACATCGTAATAAAACAAGAATCTATCGAAGCAGTCGACCTGGAAAGTAAGATTCTGGCATTATGCAAGGACAACGGGAAAGGAATAAGCGATGCCATTATACAACAGAGCATGCCCAGTATCCCTGCACAACAACGTGTTATGGCAATAAACAGACTTTTATCTACGGTATTTTTATTTATGCACGTGAGGAATATCATTGGAGCCTGGTGTGGTACATAAGTATTAAGTACATTGACCAAATGACCATGATTGGTATCAATGAATATGTACATGAAATGACATTCCCAAAAAATATATGAAATAATTCTCTCATAGAGTACTTTGATATCCCAATGTTAAATCCAAATCAGTGGGTTGCAACTTGGCACTTGCAACTTGCATGTGGCGCCACAAAATTATATTTTGTCTCAAATGAAATTTGTCTCAATACACCCTTCGGGAAAGTACATCACTTTGGCTATAGAGCCTCGTTTTTTGTGTATCTGGACATTGAGCCCAAGTCTCAATCTTAGGCTCTATAGCCAAGGTGAAGTACTTTCTGGAAGCATGGAATGACATCAATCAAAACTTCCATGATTGAAGGTGTTTGCATTGTGAAAGGAATGCCCAAGGGTGACAATCCATTCTAATAAACTGGGGGATGGAGAGGGCCAACAGACATAATTTATTAGAGATTATATTATGAATGTTCAAAAGATGGAGATGCACCCCCAAGAATATATCCTTTAGAGACTGCATCTGAGAGGGCATGCCAGACCCCCTGGAGTCTAGACTTGCTCCAAGTCTCTCTTTCATTGTCATATAGTATCGATCCACTATAGTGTACATTACATGACATAGTACGGAGGGGCGGAGCGAGAAAGAGAGACTTGTCAACTTCAGAAAACCTTGGTTCAAAACTGAACCGAAAATGAAGACTTGCTTTTTTTTCTGTCAGTGTTTATATGTATTGATCTAGCACAGTGTTAATAACATGAGTTACATCATAGTAAATAATACAGAAAGAAATTGAAGGAAAACAATTAAAGGAGTCTTGTCCACCCCACCCCTTAACCAAACCAATGTTCTGTGGTCAATAAACTTATGACTCGCCAGATAATTTTACTCACAAAAGGGAGAGTTCTGCCACTCAATGAGTTAATCAGCCTATCTGCCCATGCATTCTGTTAACCCTTTAAGTCGCAATGCACCCTACTTTAGTAATGGGTTAAGAAGTGTGAATGTATACTGTAAGTGTATATATTACAGGGTCGTTTGGAGTTACTTAAGAGTGGATCAACGTTACTGTATCGCTATAAGGACAGTGAATCGGTTTCGTAAGTAAACACTGACTAGTGAATTTGATCATCTTTCCAAGGGACATGTAATTGCTGTCAATTAAATTTCAAATGTTTTTAGGAAAGTTAAAGGCTTCGAGTTAGAAGAAAAATTAGTGTATCAGATTATTGAAGAAGCTGGAAACAAGGGTACATTTCATTTCTTTCTTATTGGCCCGATGTAGATCCGATGGTCCGTCTACATGAACTTGGAAAAAAACACAAACATTAAAGTAGACAGATCCTCCGTCAAACGAAGTGTCTGAACGAACTACCTGCGTAGCTCGCCTTTTAAGAAAATATCGTATGAACAATTTGTGCCTGGGTTAATCACGTGCTATTCTATACATGGGTTTTGACAGAACATCGGTGATTTTTGAGTTTAGTTTGAAATGAGTTTTTTCCAGTGGGAGTACACTAGCTTTAGTTACATGCAGTGTATACGTCTACATTTGTACTTGTAGGAATATGGATTCGCGACATCCGTTACAAAAGCAATCTTCAGTTAACTCAAGTGAACAAAATTCTCAAGACGTTAGAAAGCAAGAAGCTAATAAAAGCCATCAAATCTGTAGCGGTAATACATTTTAACAGACTTTGAGATACTAACGTTCTGTATTTCGTTCAGAAATGCGCGCCAAGAAATTTTACCGACTGTTTGTATAGGTATAGTATGGTTTCGACTTTCGAGTGCAATTTGGAAAAAAACATGCACGAGTGAGTTTTCCAAAGACTATATCAAAATTACACGAGTCCGAGTGCAATTTGAAGTCTTTGAAAAACTCACGAGTGTATGTTTTTTTTTTTCAATTTGCGCGAGAAACCATACTATTAGACCTGTTTCAAACGTCGCGCTTCTCATGTGCCGAACGCATTAAAAACAATAGATAGTCAGCTGAAATGCCTCATTATCTATTGTTGCTAATGCGTTCGGCACATGAGAAGCGTATTACATGAGCAAATTATGCAGTTACGTGCGTAAGTCACATTTAGAAGAGGGTCCTGAAGGGGGGGGTGGGGGTCGTATTCCCATTTACCAGCCCAAATTTTGACTAAATCCCATTGTCCCAGAGCACAAATCCCATCATCTCAGTGGCTGTCCTGCACAAATCTTAATCCCATTCCCATTTTCTATTGTTTTGTTGCTGATGAGTCCCAGTGCATGAAATCCCATTTTCCCACCCAAAAAATAAGCAAATCCCAGTTCCCATTTTACCCCTTCAGGACCCTCTTAGAAATTAAGAAATATGAAAAATAAAAAATTTCTTTTCTTCGCACTGCTCTTAGCCAACAGAATGGAGAAATTTTGTATGTATATTATTAGCAGTGAAATAGTGATTCCTGCAATATACATGCAGTTGTCTGATTATAATTGCTTCTAGTTTGTCCCCACCAAACACGTAGGTTTTCTCTGGTAGTAACACTCAAGCAACTTTCATTGTCGTCACTAGCAATCGAGTGTAAGTAAAGGATGAGAACGAGGTTGAGAAGCGAGAGTTTGCATGAGAGTTTTCTCTCCTCTCATGGCGCCATGCCCCGATCAAACGAGAACAAGAGTTGCGTGAGAGTTGAGAAGCAAGAGTTTATACAAGAGTTTTCTCTACTCACATGCCCCGGTCAAACGAGAACAAGAGTTGCGTGAGAGTGGACTGGATATTGCAAGTCAACTCTCATCAAAATTTGAACTAGCTCAAAGTTGATGAGAGTTGGCGGTCAACCACGAGTGAGAGTTGGAATTCTCCTCAACTCTCGTTTTTACCGGGGTTTTACTTTAGCTTCTAATATTTCTAACACCAGAATTTTCACCATGGTAGCAGTAGAAAGTATATTAGCGTAATTTTCTTTGATAGGCGTCAAAAAAGAAAGTGTACATGCTGTTTAATCTCGAACCAGACCAATCAGTGACAGGAGGTTCATGGTACAGTGATCAAGATTTCGAGTCAGAATTTGTTGATGTGCTTAATCAACAGTGTTTTAAATTTCTACAACAAAAGGTAAGATCTTGAGGCCATTCCAGGTTCACTTTGTTAATCTATTTGTTTTTTATGCAACCTCTCATGCTGGTTTTTATTTCTAAGGCAGCTGAAGCAAAGAAAGTGTGCAGTGATCCTTTAGCACATAAAAATGCTTCCTATGGTTCTTCACACGATATCCTGAAGTTCATCACTGACCTTGGTATAAGCAAGGTAATAAAACTAATTATTATTATACATTTAGTACGTATTCTCGTTCCTGATCGGTCAGAGAGCACCGGATAATTCTCAATATTCGCTACATATTACGTAATTTCAGCTGCTGACGTGCTCAGGGTCCAATAATAGTTTTTTTGGATCGAACTTGCATCCCCGCAAATTATTGGACACTGTTGTGCCCAAGCCCCGGCGCGGCCAACAACTCAAACCCAAAAGCGCGCGAAAATAAAATAAATATACTTTGAAACATTAATAAACTTCGTTTAATCGTTTTATACATTTCAGACCTCGGTCAATGTTATCCGCCTCAGCTTCGCTTCGGCAGATAACAATGACCTCGGTCTGAATAATTCTTGATATCATGCTCAGCCTCATCTAATAATTGTTTAATTAATATTTACCACTTATTTTTCAAAAACCACTTCATTCATGTAACCAACCTCGTTCCGCCCTGGCATTTACTACATTAAAATAATTTCAGGGTGCACCAGATAGAGCTTTTTGCTATCCGGCCGGATAATAAGTTTATCTCAATATCCGGCCTGGATATCCGCTGCATCCTGATCTTTTCTCTGCCTATCTTTTCTGTTTTTCTTCTATAGGTTCAGTTATCAATCAAAGACATCGAAACAATTTTAGATACTTTAATATTCGACGGCAAGTTAGAAATGACCATAGTCAATGACACCTCTGCAGGATCGAGCAGGGAGTACAAACAGAAGAAACTTTATAGAGCTGTTAAACCTATCTTATCGTCAACAGGACTTGTGCGAGTACCCTGTGGTTTATGTCCGGTAAGGTTCAGACTTCATACAATTCATGAACCCGGCCTGTGCCATTGGAGATAATAAGACTTTGGAGAAAAACCCTCAAAGCACAGGATAGAACCGGCAACCAATGCTCACGTTAGTTTTTCAAACACAAAGCAGGGCTCAAAATAACGGGTTAATGATACTGGTCATGTTGACCGGTCAATAGGGAGCTTAAAAATGTACGACGACAACACGACGACAACGGCAACGAGTCAATGAAAATAAATAATTAAAATCCCAGGGGAGTTTCAGACGTAGTCGTCGCTCTGTTTACAACGGCAAATCACAGATTTTCACGTCTTTTATACAACGCCTGCATTTCAAGCTGTAACAAGTGCAACTTAAAATTCGGTTCAGTAGAACTCTTCCCAAACATAAAGACAATGTTTTCAACTTCTTGTATTGTATTAATTTCATACGAATTATAATATACGACAAGTTTTCTTTACTATCATTTATTTGAAGGAATGTGTTTTAGCCGTCGTCGTCGTGTTGCCGTCCTACATGTTTAAACTCCCTAATACCTTCCCTACGAAGGGCCTTCGCGAGGGCTTTTGTTTTTTTCAGCGAGTTGAATTTCTCTCAGTCCGCAGTTTTCTGGTGTTATTAGAGAGTTTGGCAACCTACAACGGCAACGACAAAAATATAATTGCTTATATTGTTGTATTTGAGCCAAAGTATACGTTACTACACTTAATTTGCCTCTTTAAGTATTCCTGTTTCTTTCAAACGTACCCTTAAGTAAAAGTAGTCCGCGAATTCAAATAAAACACCTCAAATAACATCGTAGTCATGCACCGTGAAAACGATTCAAATCACGTACTAGTTTCAACAACTACGGCATTGCACAACGCTTAAGACCATGTAATTTACATTTACCTTTGTCTTTGAGGATTAATGCTATTGTTGATGACCATATTGCCGTTGCCCTTGTATTTGCCAAACTCTCTATTGTCACCACCGGCACAGAGCGTTCGAGTTTATATTTAACAAGTATACAATATCTCAAAAATCAATCCCGTTCCCAGAGCCAAATGTGATCGGTCACTATTTCCGGCTTGACCGTTGACCGTCCGTTATTCTGAGCCGTGCAGGCAAGTTACCCAACCTAAGTAAAACTCTGCCCTCGACATGCAGTAGCAAGTTTAACTCAATAGTAAGGAGCAGCATCCGTGCTTTCCAAGTCCTTACTTAACAAACATGTACTATCTACTTTTTTGTAGGTTGTGGACAAGTGTGAAGAAGGCTCAGCAATTTCCCCAAGTACTTGTATTTATATGAAAGAATGGCTAGAATACTAATATAACGACGTTGTTTTATAAACTATAACTATATAGAATTGTGTGTATAATTATTTGTATGCAATTGTAAAGAATAAAGTTTATTTTAAATAGTTTTGTGTTCTTTGTGTCACTGGTGGGCACTTCGCAAATATTGGGTGCGTACCCTCTTAGCCTTAGCGAGGCAGAGGAGTGTAAGGGCGCACCAAGTTCCTTATCAAATCTGTTTGTTTGGATTTGGAAAGGCAGTAGACCTTTCCCCTTTTAAGTGAAATTTTGATCTAGACTAGCCTGGACAAAAATTTCATTACAGCTTGAAAGAGTATCCCAAAATTAGTAATATTCCGAAATTAGTAATATTGCGATATGTTGCAAAATGCGGCCAATATAGCCTTGCGAAGTTTGCCGTTTTTCAGTCATTTTGCATTACAAACGGGAAATTGATAATCAGTTTGATCATCTGATTATCAATTTCCCATTTGTAATCAAAATGACTGAAAAATGGCAAACTTCGCAAGGCTATATTATCCGCATTTTACAACATTTTGCAACGAAACTTCGGAATATTACTAATTGTGCGATGCTCTTTCAAGCTGTAATGAAATTTTTGTCCAGACTTGTCTAGATCAAAATCTCACTTAAAAGGGGAAAGGTCTATTGCACGAACCAAAATTACAAAATGAAACAATAACGTAAAGTAAGAAATTAAGCATCAAAGGCATCTATTTCGACACATTGAGCATAGCATAATAATGCCATAATTATCATTTTGCAAAAATTATTTTAAAATGCAAGATATGTACAAATTAATTATATACAACAAAGTTACAATAAGAGATCAAACCCTCAGGTTTCACTTACAATATGGTCAAGGGTTGTGATTGCCTTCAAGATCGAAGATAGATATATTCGTTATACCCCCAACAAGATTACAATAATCTCGTTAATACGGTAGGCTAGACAAACATAAACAAAGCGATAGAATGACTTTGGCGCCAAACTGAAGCCAAAGATGGCGTTAATTGACTTCCAGTCCCTTTCTACTGAAGCCCGACTTCTTGGTTTCTCCTATGATTTTGGCGTAACCCATTCTCGTACCCTTCTTACGTGCGGTGCGACGAGGGCTCGGTCGAACGCACGTAAGAAGGGCTCTGGGTACGAGAATGGGCGTAACCGTAATTCGTCATCAAAATGCTGACGCCATGATCCTAGCCAGTGCGATAATGAGAGGCATCCCTCTGGCTAGGACCATGGCGTCAGCATTATGATGAGGAATCATGGCGTGGCAGCGTTACGCTTTTTTGTGTCTTTATTTTGTGCCAGTGCACTTAGAGAAGCATTCGCCCCATGAACGCCCACCATTTTGAATATTTTCAGAGGGTGAATGCCTCTCGTAAGCGCACTGGCTAGGAATATGTCGATATTCTGTGACAAAGGTTTACAACGCCACAGTTGCGGGACAACATCACGTCACCATTTCCCCCTTTTAGCCCAATCTTTCGGAGTCCAATGTAAAAATTTCGGATCAATTCTCAGTTTTCGTTTTATCATAGCGCGCTTGTGACCTTCCACAATATCTTTAGTGAAAGTCAGAATGTACTGTCCTTTGTAATACTGAATAAGACCCAGATACTGTAATGTAGAGACAACGTCTTCTTTACGGATACTCGTTCTTTCACAAATATCACTAGAGATAATGGAAGTCATTAAATATTGAAAGTTTATGAGAAAATCTATCACAATTAATGATAACCGTAATCAGGTATGGGCACATTTAGTATACAGCTATTTCAATTAAGGTTGTCCCCGTGCAAAGCGGAAAAGTCGAACACGAGCGCGAAAGGCTTGCTGGGAATCGCTAAAAAATTCATTAATTTTTTAGCGATTCCCAGCAAGCCTTTCGCGCTCGTATTCGACTTTTCCGCTTTGCTCGGGGACACCAGATGTGTAACTTCATAGGACTTCGTGTCCTCAAATTTCCCTAAGCTGTACACGTCATGACACTTGCTAGGAAGATGGCGGCGTATCATTAAGTATAACCAAATGACGAATTATCATAGGAAGATGGCAACCGTGGGACAACGTTTTTACATCTGTTCATACTTAATCTGTGATATGGGTTTACTGGAGTGAATGTACATGGGGTGTGCATCCCTCCCAGCCTCGATAAACGGGGGAAAAGGGTGCCAATTTTCTTTAATCAAATCCACTTTTGGGTTTGGAAAGGCAATTACAAATTCAAGACAAAATGAGAAAGCAACCTGATTGTCAAATTGTCAAGCAAGGTTATAGACCAGCGCCTGAGACTAGCGATCATGCACTTGGCAACAGCCGCCCTGAACCATGACCAATTCTCGACGAGCACCCCTTCTTAAACGTAGTTGGATCTATTCCTGGTTGCAATTGATTACTAACTAAGTAACTAACACCACAACCAATTTTTCCTTCGTGTAACGTTTCACTAGTTAAGTGATAACTGATAATTTAGACATATATAAAGTGAGTCTTTTTACAGTGAAACCGCCTAAAGAAACCGAAATTAACGACCATGCGATACCGCCATCTTTGACACAGAATAGACAATGATCGGTAGAGGTCTCTCTCGTTGAATCTTTGAAGTTTGTTCCCCTGGCGTAGATTATGCCCTCGTCATTTCATTTAGGGTGTTTTCTCATTTGGATATGCCGATGTTTCGTTCCATTTTTACCTCTGAAAAACAAAACCCAACAAGCAGAATACAAGAACATAAGATATACTGCACTTACTTGATGGTGATACTCGGTTGA